AATTCTTATAAGGTAGCCTGGCGCGGTGGTGAAGAGGTCCTGGTTGAATCTCACTCTCTGCCACCACAACAACACACCCTCAAAACAAAACAAAACAAAACAAAATCTTGGTGTTCTTTCAGTACCTCAGCCTCTTAGTCACCAGAATGAGAAAAATGATGCTTATCTTAGGGATGCCTTAAGACAAAAATCAACTAAGCAAACCTTAGAGTAGAGTTCATCAAAACAAAAATAGAAAATTTAGAAAACTCCATTTGGATCTGGGGAGATGGTTTTCGTGCTTGCATGAAAACCTGAATTCAGGTACTCAGCATCCACAAAAAAGAAAAAGAAAAAGCTGGACACCACAGCTCGGTGTATAACTTCAGCGCTAGGAGTGGGAGAAGGAAAGGACAGGAGGATCCCAGGAGCTTGCTGGCCCTACAGTTTAGCTGAATCAGTGAGCTCCAGGTCCAAACTAGAGACTTTGTCTCAAAAACCAAGGTGGAGAGTAACTGAAGCAGACACCTAAGATCAATTGGAGGCCTCCACCCACAGAAACATATGTGTGAACACTCTTATGCATAAATAAAGAAATACTTTTAAACTTAATATATGAGTTAAGCAGCAAACTACATTTGAATAACTGCATACTGAAATGCAATACTGAAGAAATGCTTACTGAAGAAATGCATACTAATCTCTAACAAATATGAAGAAACACAGAATCATGGATGTAGGAAAAATTAGAGGAGGTTGTATAATGTATAGGATAAAAGAAAAAGATCCTAAATGTATCTACGTAGTCTCAGAGGACATAACACAGTGCTGTTTAAGGATAGTTCAAAATGGTCCTAACTTGATGACAGACATGAAACCCTGGAACACAAAGAAACAAAGAGCATCCTGTACCAAGCAGGATAAAGAAGACGATGAGCTACTTCTAGACAAAGTAAGCTAAACCTGAAGAGCCTGAATGACAGAAAAGATCATTTAAAAGCAACAAGAAAATAAAAGAAAGCTTGTCACAAAGAATCACTTTACTAGTAATAGCATGCATCTTAACCAAAATTATGGAAGCCAAAGACAGTAGGCTTAGGTTTTCAAAGTGCCAAGAAATTAAATGCTAAAAAGTTCTGATTGTAAAATCAGAAATATTATCTTCCAAGTACAAGGTCAAAAATAAATGATATGTTTAGATTAAACAAAGCCTGAAATAATTTACTCTATAAAACACACATATTTAAGGAACTTCCTAGAGTTACTTTTGACAGATGAAGCTAATATAGAAAGTCTGGATGAATACTAACCAGAGAAAAAAGTTAAACATGGAAGCAAATACAACAGAGATTCGCTTAATGTAATAGTGTTATCTAAATTGTGGTTGCTTGACTTTAAGAACAAAACAGGCCAAGGTATAAGAAATACCATAGCAAAATGTTAGTGAGAGTTAATGCCCTTGGGTTTTTGTCTTTCAGTAAGAGATTTTAGATACTGTTTGTAGAGCTTGTTAAGTCTGAATGGTAAAATTTTATGGGTGACCATAAAAAACGGGAATAGTGTATCATTCCCACAGTGGGGACAAGGTGAAATTATAGAGGTTCACCTCTCTGGCCACTGAATATCTAAGAGTCCCTGCCACTTAATTTAGCCACAGGTGTCAGTACACACCTGTGCTCCCAGCACAAGGGAGACAACCTGCTTAGACTACATAATGAGAAAACAAATCAAAACCAAAATTCTCTTATAACTCACCCTCTCACCCCCAAGGTTTCACAGTTTGAGTTGCTCACTGCCCACAGCAATCTTAAAATATTCAATAGAAAACCCCATAAGTGAGTAATTCATTTTGCACATAGTATGGCATTCTGAGTAGCTGTGAAAAGAGTCTCTGCTGCCCCACCAGGTCCTGCACAGGGGAGAGGTTTTACCTTTGGTGGATCTGCACCATAGATGCCAACTGCACTCCAGTCACTCAGAAGCCTTTTCCTCGCGATGAAGACGTAGCTCAGAGGTAGAGTTCTGGTCTGTCATACACAGGCCCTGGGTTCAGTCCCCACCCAACACAACAGAAGGAGAGAGTCTTCTCAGCTACCAGGCCAACCGTCACAACCTCTCAGTGCGTAGGTTTGAGTCACCCTTGTTCCATAATAATCGCCCCAAAGCAGCAGAGAAGTGACGTGGCAGTTTTATCACAGAATATTGTGCTAATTTTGTTTTATGTTAACAGTCTCTTACCGTGCCTGATGTGTAAGCCAAACTTGATTAACATGTGTAAGTAGGAATGACAGTATATGTATGCTTCGGTGATAAGAGGGAGCTACTGTAACACGAGCCATCTGGCACACGCTGGCTACTTACGCTGGGTACTGTTTGAGGCACTCCACTGCTTTGTTCTGATTTAATTTTCATGTAACCAAAGTTCACAAAAATGAGGCAGACCTGGAATTCAAACATAGACATGTTGGTTCTGGAGCATTCACTATTGAATACTATGCTGCCACTGAGTGCTTGCACGATGATATTGTTCCTGGAAGACGGACTTCAAAGTCAGAGCTGTGGACTGCATGACTGGGACCTCAAGATTTCTAGAATGGAGTCTAGCCTCCTGCGTGACTGTGTTTGGAGGTAGGGACTCGGAGGTAATTACTGTGGTAGATATAAGATCTCTGTGTGTCCCTCGCAGCCGCACATCAGAAGACTGCAAACCAGAAAGAAACCCTCACCAAGAACGAAGCCATGACATCAGATTCCGAGTCCCTGGATGCGTGACATAAAGTGCGAAGCAGGATCTACTGTAGCAGACGGAGTGACTAGGAAGACAGTCAGCAGGGGTGCTCTGGAGAAAACGCCTCAGTCAGTAAAGTGCCTGCCACAAAAGCTTAAGGACCTGAGCTCAGCACCCAGCACCTACACACAAAGCTGGGCTTGGTGGCACCCGCTTGCAATCCCAAAGCCAGGAAGACAGAATTGAGATCCTGGGGCTTGCTGGGCAGCCAGCCTCACTTAGTCACTGATCCCCAAGGGTCCCACGGAGGCCTTGTCTCAGAAAGCAAGGTGGACAATATTGATCTCCTCTGGTCTTTAAACACACACATGCACACATACACACGTGCCTGTGACTCACACACATACACACAGACAGACATAAGCATGTATACACACACTTGTGTGTGTGTGTGTGTGTGTGTGTGTGTGTGTGTGTGTGTGCAAACACATAAGCAAGACTTGAGGAAAATGATGGGCTATGTTCAAATATCCAAAAATCCCTACATGGAATAAGAGTTAAGCATATTCCTAAGAAGAGAAAGAGATGGTTGGAAAAGAGAAAAGACCCTTTCCAGCTGAGCTTATAGAATCACAGGTCTCCGGGAGAAGAAAGAGAGAGGGGAAGCAGCCTGGGCCCTGAGTTGTCTGTCACTGGAGGTCGAACACATGGCATTAGAAGCAAGCAAGCTGGTCAAATGAGATGCTGTGAAATGCCACCGGCTCCCAGAGTCCGCAGGACCTTAAGGGCACAGGCTAAGAGCACAGGCCGGAAGCCTGAACGCTAAGGATGCTTCACCCCCTTGGAAGTTGTTCTCACCACCTACTTTATTCGGGGCCATTTTGGAGCTAGCATTTGTTTTTGAAATATTCATTTTTTTGTATTTTATATGTGACTCTGTGTGTGCTGTTATGTACATGTGTTGTGTGTGAACATATACATGTGTGTATGGAGAGGCCTAGGGTCGCCTGCTGCAGTGTCTTTCCTCAGTTACTCTCCTACTAAACCGGAAGCTTGTCGATTCAGCGAGGATGGCTGGCCTGTGAGCTTCAGGGCAAACCCTTCCCCTAAGGCAAGGGTTCCAGGCACATGCTGCCTACCCAGGTTTTTACATGGCTTCTGGAACGCTAAGCTCACATCCTGGTGCCTGCACAAAAGACCCTGAACTGATTTCCCATCTGCAACATCCTGAGACCGCACATCTGGTTAGCCTTTATTCTGACGCCAGGACAACGTTGCCTCCTCCAGAAGGCGTTCCCACCATCCCCAACACACACATCACTCATCTTCCCCAGTCATACCTTCCTTACCTTTCTGTATCATCAGTCTCCCGCAGTGGCTACAAACATGGCTCAGCACAAGGGAGGTGGCTAAAAAGTACAGAAATACATTGTTTCATGGTTCTGGAGACATGAGCAGGCCCTGGTCCCTCGGAGCTTTGGGAACAGAATCCCTTTCACTTCCTTCTTTCTTCTGAGGTCAGCAGCCTACCTTGACCCCGAGTCTTGAGGTTAAATCATTCATATTTTTCTTGTCTCTGTATGATCTCACCATGTCTGTATCATTGAGTGGTCTCTTAAAAAAATCACTTTAAATTTTGTTTTATGTGTATGGATATTTTTGCCTGCATGCAGTAGCCACAGAGGCCAAAAGAGGGTATCAGATCCCTAGGGACTGGAGTTACAGATGCTTGGAAGCCACCGTGTGGTTGCTGGGAATTGAACCTGGAGCTTCTAGAAGAGAATCCAATGCTCTTAACCACTGAGCCATCTCTCCACTCCTTTTTCTCTTCTTACAGGGACATCAGTCATATGGATGTCCATATTAGGATGCCAGCCCATCCTAATCCAGAATGATCACGTCTTAAGTAATTACACCTTCAAAGATCCCATTTCTAAATAAGGTTACAGTCACATTTACTAGGAATTAAGAAAATGCCTCAGGAGGAAAAAAAGAAAGACAGAAAATGCTTCAGTGCTGGGGCTCAGCAGGTACAGGTACTTACCTCCAAGCATGATCAACTAAGTTCAGTACTCAGAAGGTGGAAGGACATAGCTGATCCCTCCTCTGTGCACCCTCCCACAATGCACACACATGCACACACACACACACACACACACACACACACACACACACATCCACACCCAAAAGAAGGAAGGAAGGGTAGTTTGAAAGATATATATTCCTGGTTTTTTAAGTTAAATCCAGGCTTGTAACTAGAGATGAAAACAGCTGCATTCTGTTTGCCTTCCAGGGCAGTGCCAGCAACTCCCAGCCTCCATTCGTCCAGATGCCAGGTGAGACCTTTTCTTCAACAAGCAATTTACTCCCTTGAGAGCAACTGAGTGTTTGTGCTTTGTCTTCCGTTGTGGGGAGCCACCCAGCCCAGGGCCCTGCGCAAGTCCAGAGCTTCCAATGTCTTGGTAACATACCACTTTCTCTCATTTTTGCCTTTTTTGAACAACAACAACAAACTGGTCAGCAGAGACATCCCACTGAGTCATCCTGAACTTAGTCGAGTGGGCCTTGAAAGGTGGGCCTTGAAAGGTGGGCCTTGAAAGGTGGGCCTTCCGATCCTCTGCTTGAAAGATGCTTTTAGGCAGAGAACAATAGCAGTCTTGCTTTCTGGCACAGTGTTAAAATGCCTAATGCTCTGACATCCTGATCTAATAGACCAGCAGTTTTCAACCTATGTCCTGTGACATCAGATATCCTGCATATCAGGTATTTACAACTCATAACAGTAGCAAACTTACACTTATGAAGTGGCAACAAAATAATGTTACGGTTAGGGGTCACCAAAGTAGGAGGAACGTATTAAAGGGCCGCAGCTTTAGGAAGGTTGAGGACCGCTGTAATTAACCATGTCCCCAGTGTGGATAGAAAGAGAAAGGAACATTGGGGGTTGGGGCTACATTTACTTTACTTTCTGTGTCACACAGTGAGTTCTGTTTACTGTATTTGTGCCAGTTTGGGGTATCTCAGTCCCACAGTCCTGTGAGGCAAAGAAAGGAATATTCCTAATAACAACAAGCACCTTTGCACACACAACCCCCAACCCTACCACATACTACCTCTACAGATCTCAACCTCCAAAGTGATCTAGCGCTTTCCAAGTTACAGAAGAAAAGGGGTTCCAAAGCATCCCAGATAACTCTATTGTATTTCTTGTCATCTTTATTTCCATTTGAATTTGGTTGTTTCTGCTCTTTTGTACTAAGAGAAATTTATTCTAGAATTTTTGTTTTGTTTTTTTTTTTCAATTTTTCAAGACAGGGTTTCTCTGTGTAGCCTTGGCTGTTCCGGACTTGCTTTGTAGACCAGGCTGGCCTTGAACTCACAGTGATCTGTCTCCTTCTGCCTCCCAGAGTGCTGGGATTAAAGGTGTATGCCACCACACCTGGCTGCCCCTCCTCTTTTTAAGGAGAAATAGGTACACTTCGTCAAGCAGGGGGCTTTTCTTCATGACTGTTTCTATTTTGAAATTAGAAATATAAATGTACCATCCTGGAAACATTGTTTACCCATCACCAATCTTTGCGATATAACTTCATGACATGAAACTTTATTTACACAGATTTCTCCCCGAGGAAGGTGTGCTTATAATTAAAACTGTCAGCGCAGAGTTCAGATGTACAAGCAGGTTGGAAATTGGTGATTTTTAAAATGAAAGTGGAAGCCAGGCGTGGTGTTGCACGCCTGTGATCCCAGCACTCAGGGGAGCAGAGGCAGGCTGATCTTTGTGAGTTCGAGGCCAGCCTGGTCTACAAAGCAAGTCCAGGACAGCCAGAGCTACACAGAGAAACCCTGTCTCAGAAAAATGAAAAGGAAGGAAGGAAGGAAGGAAGGAAGGAAGGAAGGAAGGAAGGAAGGAAGGAAGGAAGGAAGGAAGAAGGAAAGAAAAAAGGAAAGAAAAAAGGAAAGAGTAGTGAGTGAAAGCGTGTTAAAGGTTTTGGTGGGGGCTGATTGCCTCCTCTGAATGAAACATTTGTGTGGGATGCTGAATTCAGCATTCCACTCCTGGATTTACAGACCAAATGATGCATGAGGCCTGATCTACCACCACAGAGCTTTTAGACCCTTTGGGAAGATAGCTGTAATAGGTGACAGAATAAAGAGCAAAATATTAAATACTACTTTAGGTGGAAGGCGCTCAGGCTCTCACTGTGAACAGGTCATTCCGGGTGGGTCCTCAGGAACCTGCCTTCTCTTCTCTCTGAAGAATGGGTAGGCTCCTGTCCTCTTCCCTGTTTTCTCCCTTTCCTGATGTCCATCTGCTTTGCCTTTCTCAATGGGGATTGAGCAATTTAGCCAGAGTCCTCCTTCTTGACAGCACAGGAGCATACCACAGAGGGCCTCGGAAAGGCTCTACCCTGCAGGGTATCAGAGCAGATGCTGAGACTTAGAGCCAAACTTTGGGCAGAGTGCAGGGAATCTTATGAAAGAAGGGGGAGATAGTGAGACTTGGAGAAGACAGGAACTCCACAAGGAGAGCAACAGATCCAAAAAATCTGGGCACCGGGGTCTTTTCTGAGACTGATACTCCAACCAAGGATCATGCATGGAGATAACCTAGAACCCCTGCACAGATGTAGCCCATGGCATTTCAGTGTCCAAGTGGGTTCCACAGTAATGGAAACAGGGACTGTCTCTGACATGAACTCATTGGCTGGCTCTTTGATCACCTTCCCCTGAGGGGGGAGCAGCCTTACCATGGAGGCCATGGAGGAAGACAATGCAACCTGATGAGACCTGATAGACTAGGATCAGAAGGAAGGAGAGGAGGACCTCCCCTATCAGTGGACTTGAGGAGGCACATGTGTGGAAAAGGGGAAGGGAGGGTAGGATTAGGAGGGGAGGAGGGGGGAGCTACAGGGGGGATACAAAGTGAATACACTGTAATTAATAAATTAAAATTAAAATTAAAAAAGAAAAGAATGGGTGGGGTGCAACTCCCTGTTGTTGGCGAAGGGAAGAAAGACAGGTGCTATTTTCTCCACATCTCAGCCTTTAAGAAAGGAATTCAAGGTGTATAAAGATCTGCGAACATGAAAACATAAGTGAGTTGTGAGGGTCTGAGAAGCTGATTTAAGGTATGCAAATGCAAGTTATAAAGGTTTGAGATGGAATATATAAATGGTAAATTACAGGGACCTGGACTCTGTGCCCCAGTTTCTTGACAACCATCCATTTCCTGCCACAGACAACTGCAGGGTCAGAGAGTGTCAAGTGCAACTCTTCTCTCCTGAAACCATCTCATTTGTCTTTTCTTAAATAAACTTCTTGCCAGTTTCAGCTTTTCTCTCTGTCCCTCCTAACAAAACTCTACCAAGCGTTCTCCTTTTAAGCCTGGTCTATGTCCTGGCGAGGTAAAGGAGGGACCCAGTTGACCACAAGGGGGCAGCAAACAACACTACAACATCAAAGCCAGAAATGTCAGAAGGGTTTTGCTTGGTTGGTTTTTTGTTTGTTTTGCTTTGTGTTCCCTCAGATAGATAGATAGATAGATAGATAGATAGATAGATAGATAGATAGA